TAACTTTAAAAATTGATACGACATTATAGACGTTTCGCTTGTGAATTGGGCCAAGACCCTACACGACGCTCCATAAAGATAATTATTACTCATTTGTACGATGGCCATTTGCCTTTGTTTATATTATTGTTGCTATAAGGAATAAATGTTTATACTGAAACACATAGTACTGAATTTATTGAATGAATGTGTTTAGTTTGTTTTTTCAGTTTTAATTTATTGCTTCCAAAAATGGACCATTTATACGCATTATTTAGTTGATTATAGACCAACAAGGATATTTGACCCGGTGGGCAAAAATCAAATTAAATAAAGACAGCTCACTAACGCCACCCTTTCACTCGCAAAATTATCACAATATCTTCATTGTACTATAGCTCTTTTGTATTTTTTATGTCATTATCTAAGTACGTTTTATACACTTTTTCTAACTGAAATATCCGCGATAGCCGCATCTCTTACCGAGCCAGTTAGCTTTATTGACAATATGAGTTATGACAATTTATAAAAAAACTGTGATTTTTTATTGAATCTTAATTCTTACTAATACAAATACGAAAGTAATGTGGCAAACAAGCATGCGGCTGCCTGTTGTATCTCGATAAAATTTGACACAGTTGTAAAACATAGTCTGGAAGAACGCTTAATGTACTTACTAAGTTTTTTTTAGTTCCGCGCGGACGGAGTCGGAAGCGAAAGTCAGTTTTTTATATTTTTAATATAAAGAGTGTTAATATATTCGTATTCAGCACGCTGAAGTAAACGTGACTCTTATCCACATGAAATATTTAACAACGGTATAAACAAAGGCCAACCGCCAAAGATTTTACTGATATGTGTTATGTTTATTATATTAAAAAGTGAAGTATTTTTCATACTGCACTTGTCTTGACACGTGCGTTGGAGGATAACGAAATAAATAAATTAAAAGTGATGTAAGGCGTTTATACAATGATTTATAACATTTGATTGATTAACGATAAAAAATATTGTAAAGAAAAATAAGTACGATATTTAAAATGTAAGTAAAAAGAATAGAAGTTAGTAATTTCACAAAAAACCGATGAAGATTAAACTTATATGTTAAGCGCTAATAGCCTAATGGTTTGGGATATTACTGATCCCGAGGTCGAGGGTTCGAATCCCGCCATTCGACTATTGTCGTGAACCATATCCTAGCACAAGCCTAGATCTTAGTTGGAATGGTTAAAGGAAAAATTAGTAAAATAAACTAAAATCTACTGCTATTTAAAAAAAAACCTTGAGATAAAATTAAGATCGATTTAAAAAAAACCTTTTTACGTCAAATTACGTTTAATTTCGTCATCAAATTCCACTGCTTTAATCTCTAAAGCAATTATATTACGTGTTTTGATAAAAATATATCCGGCTATTAGGAAAAATTCGTATACTATTATATCAGGGAAATAATTGCTGGTGGAAAAGACTTCTTTGATCGTTTAATAGTTTGTGGTTATGGAAAATATCTTTGTTTATACTAAACTAGCTTTAGCCCGCGATTCCGTTCACGTGGAATTAAAAAAAACTAAGTAGCCTATGTGTTCTTCCAAACCATACTCTACGTCTGTGCCAAATTACATCGAGATCCGTTCAGCCGTTTAGGCTACAATCTGTAACAAACATCCATCCATCTAAACTTTCGCATTTATAATATTAGTCAGAGTAAGATTAGTAAAGACGATATATGTAGATGATCGACGTAAAAGCAATTATTTTAATTGCTATGGTCGTAGTTACAGTTATCGTGAATTTCCACTAGCGAAACATTCACATGAAACTTTTATCTCGCATTGTCTAAAAAACCTGAAGTAATGAAATGTTTTTGTAATGCATTAATATATGAGTTTGATACATGAAAGATTTTTAGAGTGTATTCTGGAAGAATACATAAGCTACTTACTTTAGTTTTACTTTTTTAATTCCACACGGACGAAGTCGCGGGTGAAGCTAGTTAATTACATTTAATTAATGTATTAATAATTATAAATTAATATTGAGGAGTTGCGTAAGAAAACTTACAAAACCAATATTGACGTGTTTGGTTTTAAAGATACGTCAAATGACGCATTGGTTTTGTTGTTGTATTTCATACTAGCTGTTCCCGTGCGACATTATCCGCATTAAATTATGAAACTTTATTTTATTGTTTACATGTGTCAAGTTATCAATTGCAAATGTCAAAATGACATGACGATGACAAACCATGGCAACCTTGCTTCCTTGATGTTGGCAGCAACTTATGGTCTCTTTCCCACATTAGGGTTTTTATCCAAAATATTAACCCCCTAAGTTTTATGGCGTGTAATATATAGCCTAAAGCGTAACGTAAGTGTAGGACTTTTTATTAAAAAAAGAGTTATTCGAAAATATGCCGTGATTGCTGACATCTTAGGCAACAAAGAAGTGTGTGTTTACGCTTTATTATAATAGTATAGATTGTTATATGTTGTCATAATCAATTTTCAGTTTGTTGTTTTGCATAAAATTATATTAATTTATGATAAAAACTTAAGTAATAAAATCAACGTTGTTTGTTTTATAAAATTTAGGGAGTTTGTTATCCTAAAGTCTGTTTATTATAAAAGTTTTGTTTGTAGATACAATTTCTACGTAATTGTTAAGCTTTTAATTTCTCCTAAAGGTACAAATACTGGGAATAAATATTTTACATACTTTAACAAATTGCGTTAAAACATCCACGAAATTGTAATAATTAGCAAAAGTGATCATGCGTCGCGAAATAAAACATAAACAATTATTTAATTTTTGTACACACAAATTTTTGGTTGAAATCGCTATCCCCAGACAAACATACATTTATTTTCATGTATGTAATGATTTATTATACTAAATAATGTAACAGAAATTATAAAATCGCTAAAGGAAAGGAAAGTGTCGTATAAAAGCGCAACGTTGTTAAATAGTTAGGGACGATTTATAGGCTAAGGAAGTAGGTCGCTACTCGAGATGGCCACAGGTCGCTCTACATCTCTATGGTAAATTATGAGGCCCAAGTCAATTACTTGCAATATACTCACTCCTAAGGAACTGTAATCTATATGTAACGAAAAGATTTCTGGATATATGTTGACCAAATGAAAGTTTTCGGAATGATTGAAAGGGCTTGAATATTACAGATAAATCAGTTTAAAAATGGAATCAATAATTTTGTTTACAATAAGCATAAGGAAATTTGCCAAAATCAACTTCAAATTTTATAACCGAAAAATCTATTACTGTTTTGTTTATTTATTTGTCGTTAGTTATTATCCTGATTACGTTCAAGCGAAAATCAACTTAAATGACAGTTAATAGTTGATTCTAAATTAACACTAGTACGTATTGGCTATAAACCATTCACGATGGTTCGATTTCGCGTGCAGATCGGCAGTTAGTCGTTGCACGTGGAAGTATGTAGGTAGTTAGTAGTTATAGGTTCACCTATATAGGTAAATAAACCAACTCCTAATGTCAGGACTGCTCCAAGTGAAAGGCTACACGTGCCCCATAACATGACACTTCGTGAAAAATGACGCTGTCTCACGTCGCGTTTGCATTTTGCACGCGAGTTCTGCAGCGTAAAACGAGTATACAGATTGCAAATTTTACATTTACTTTACTTAACATTACCTAAGTACATATTGTATAGTAATCTATATACTAATATTATAAAGGGGAAAGATTTGTGTTGTTGTGTGTATTGAAATAACTCAAAAACTACTTTGCCGCTTTCAAAAATTTTCATTTCACGCGGGCGAAGTTGCGAACAACAATTAGTATTATATAGTTGTGTAAGTACAGCTACTTTTATGTGTTTTGGAATTTTTTCCTTGTTTGATGATTTACTACTTAAAAAACTCGATTTGCTATTTTCCTATACATTATCTATTTTTATTTTCTTATTATATATAATAATAGCCGATGATAAATAAGTATTCTTCTCAACATAGTTTACAAGTCTATAAAACATTTTACTCCAAGCTAGGACATCATCAAAATGGTAATAAGGTCGACATTCCCGTGCATTTTATCGTGCACGGTAAAAAGCCGCCAAATGAGATCACAGACAACGCGCTAGCCGCGCCAAAACTTTGTCAACGCCCTCATTAAAGCCGAGCTTCTAAAACGAGCAATTTTTTTATCTTTAATTAGTGTATTACTCATTGACGTGATTTTATCTTTTTAAAGTATTAAAAACTGTAAAGTCAACGTTCCATCGGGTTTGTTTCATAATATGAACATTTCCTGTAAATTATTGTTAACTAGCATTCGCCCGCGATTCCGTTGGCGTGGAATTAATCAAAAAACACAAGTGAATAGCCTATGTTTCCTTCGAGACTATCCTCTGCATCTATACCAAATTTTATCGAAATCCGTTCAGCCGTTTAGGCTACAAACACAAACATCCATCCATCTAAACTTTTTCATTTATAATATTAGTATGATTAACTACGATATGAATTGTGAATAGAAAGATGTGGCAATTTATTGTATTAAAAAACAGACTAGTCACCATTTCAAAGAACTTCCTCTATATTTGAATAAAAAAATCGCATTTCTATCATATACCACTAAGCATGATGTGGGAGATCGTTATAAAAAAAGCTATAAAAAAGTTGAAACCTAATAGAAAGGTATAAAGTATACATTTAGTTAAAGAAAAGATTTTAATGTTTGTAATAATTTATGAGTAGAAAGTCATGGGTGATATACAAAAATTTTCCTTTAAAAGGAAATAGGAAAGAACCTAAATTTTAAGCAAAGATATTAGTATTCGAATCGAAAACCTGTAAGCACTAATCTTACGGTGAAACAACGCTCCGGTTGTCAAGTGAGAGTACCAAAATACAAGACGTAAACATTAAGTTTGCATTCCTTAAGTTACTAAAAGTATAGGCAATAGGGTTGAGGATTGTCTGGCCAGCATTATCGAAGCATTGCATGGTGGGGGTTACCGTCGAGCGCCGCAAGCCCGCTGGCCGTTTATTCAGTTGTCACCCGACAGCCGAGCGAGAAAGACGCGATCACATCGATCAGCGTGTTCTCAAAACTTTACGCGAAACTAAACTGCAGTTATAAACGAACTGAGAGTGTTAGATGTGTGCGTAGTGTTTGTGTATAGTGATGACTTTTGAATGGATCGATCGGCATCTATGTCTCCTGGACGTGCTCTAATGTCAGAGGGGATGGAAGCCAAAGACCGGCTTGTTGAAGAAATCTTGCTGCTTGCACTCTTCATAGTGTCGACCGCGGCCAATTCCTTGGCGTTGCTGGTCTTCTGTCGACGACCTGGATTAAGGACTATTTCCAATCGGTGAGTACAACTAGTTGTGTTTCGCTCTGTTAAGTTTTTTTGTTCAGTGTAAGGTCGTGTACAGGATATGGAAGTGCGATCGTTAGCGAGGCGAACGGGTTTCTAAATTTGAAGCAAAATTCATTGTTGAATCATCTGGTTGTATTATTAATTAAAATGTTTAGTGAGAGGTTACTAATACATAAATTTATTAATTTCGTATTTAGAAATAATAACAATCAGTAACTTACGTGTAGAGTTTTAAGTAACCTTAACTTAACTTTCACTTGAAGCAATATTTCGATTTGGAATTCTACTTTAAATTATTACTCTATGTAAAAATCACGAAACTATAAATACTATTGTTCTCAGCGTGTTTATAAAAAAATGTTTGGAAAAGTTAAACATTGAAAGATGACGACAAAAGCGAGCTTTGTTTCTCGTTTTTTTTTGCCGTAGTACATCCATAGTCCGGGCTTGGAGCCAATACTAGTATTATTATTAGAGCATTAGCGTCCGAGGGTACGTCTACCTGTGATTCTTGTAACCTTTTACTCATTTTCTGATGATTTATTATCGTATTTCATAGTTATAAATTCATACTAAAAAATCAAACGTGTCGATTTTTACCGACATCAAAAATTTACAAAAGCAACAAACGATTCATTAACTAAAAATTTTCTAAGATCATTATTTACTTCATATACTTAATATATATCATTCACATGATATATATTACTGTTGGAATAAAAAAAATAATAGTAAGGGTTACTAAAACAGATACAAAACTAACCTTACTAGTTAACGCATCGAAAGTAGATAAAAACAAAACATAGCTATTGAACAATTTGTTTCGTCACTGAGAAGGTCAAGAAGAATCGCCTTCGTATTTCAAGCAACAAAACTATAAAATAACTTGAACATTATAACGGTAAGCCAACTTCGGGGCCGAGGTGTGGAGAAAAGTTATATTAAATTTTAAATTATTGTTCCCACCATATCGATGTTAATAGTACGAGAAATTATTATTTATCTAAAACTTAATATTTTTCTAATTATTGTCGTATTTTAAAAGCATAGAATTCAGTCAATAATACAAAATTAATGTTACATCTATCTAAATTGTAACAATATCGTAAAATATTAGTTAAAAGTAAACATGTAATCAGTTAATTGCGTCTAACTTTACGATGATTCCACATTTTGTGGGAATCCCAAATAAACGATACCCAAGGATAAGTTAACTGTCAAAGATAACGAATAAAATAACGCTTACGTCCAGAATCCTAATATAAAGTTAAATATAAGTTAGATTTTATAAATCTACATTCAAAACTTTACTAAAAAACGACCACCTTTTTAAAGTCCGTTAAGATAGACGGAAAGTAATGAAGATGAAAATAAGTATGTTTAGTCTGAAGAGGGACACGGTTATAGGTTGGTTCTGTTAGTGGACTTTGGACTTACGACATGGATTCAGCGGGCGCTAGTGAACTGCAGGGACAGATATATTGTGTGTAGTTTTTTATAGTCTTGTTTGAGTAATCTCTTTTTCAAATGATATGGACCATTTAAGATGTATTTAATTGACTTAAACCTCGCTTTCACTAGTCAATCGACAAGCGTGATTTATACATTCAGAACGGCCAGTTTTATTTAATTGCGCTGTAGTAGGCCGGTTGATTTGTGTAATATTCATAAACATATGCATATGTATTTTTAAATTTGCAAATCACGCGAAATTTATCGTTTCTGAAATTTAAAAAAATGACCTGTCACGAAATATTAAATTTACATTTCTCAACAGAAATTAGAAATTTTTTACGCACAGATGGAAGTTGATTTTTATTTCACGTAGTAGTTGAGAAAATTTCTTAACGAATAATTTTATGATCCAATTCATGTAAGCGACAGTACCTTTGTAAAAAAAACTATTTAAAAAACGTCCAAATTCTGTATACTACTGTTTTTTTTAAAAAAATAAGAATACGACAAGTATTTCTGGCAATCAATCCTTCAGTTATATTTGTAAGATACATTAAAAAGGAACCGTAACATGTCAAGTATCAAAATGATTCTTGCAATTTTACACTTGCACTGTTGCCAACCAGTGTGTGGTCGCCCAGTATCAAGGTGTCGTGTTCCATCTCATATGACAAGATAATTTGACACTTCGAGACCTCGTACTTTTGAAGTGAGTGGATATGACTGTGAGTTGCGACTGTCCCGGTTGTTAACAAAGAGAATATAAGAGATGGCAATAATATTTACAATGTTTTGATTATAGGAACAGCGACAGATCACAAGCTACTTTTAACGTACCATTGTTTCAGCCTAATGATCATTTTAGATCATAACATACTAGTGGTGCGCTGTGATTTCGTTTGTGCAGTAATTAAGAATGAGATATCAATTGTTAATCGATTTGTGTTCTTTCATGAAGTGTCGTTAGTCAGGTTTTTTACCATTTCCAAATTACTCGTAATATATTTTAAGTATTGATAAAAATAATGTATTGAGCTACTTCGTTAATGTATAAATACATTTACAAATGATCTGATAAATTGTTTATTAAACTCAATAATTTGTTTGTCTCTATTGTTTGCAATACAATGAAATAACACGATGTGAACACAGTATGACTGTTTATTCTAACTATATTAAATGGTACTGATAATATTTGGATATTGATAAATGTAAGGGATAATCTATACTTCTATACTATTATAATAAAGTGTAAACACACACCTCTTTGTTGCAAGATGGCAGCAATTACAGCATATTTTTGAATAATTCTCTTTTTAATAAATAGCCCTACACTTACATACGTCACGCTTTAGGCTATATATTTTAACGCAATTAAACTAAGGGTGTATCTAAATATTTTGGTTAAAAACCCTAATGCGGAAAAGAGACCATAAGTTGTTACCAACATCAAGGAAGCAAGGCCGCCATGGTTTGACATCATGTCATGTCATGTTGCCATTTGCAATTGACACTTTGACAAATGTAAACAATAAAATGATTTTTTTATAATTCTATGCGAATGAAGTCGCACGGGAACAGCAAGTAGAAAATTAAAATGTATTACTGGACGTCTAGCATTTGTTTATTTTTTTAATTCCAGTTTCAAGTCAGCTCACCTATCAACTCGAGCGACAAGAGTTATGAACTGTTTTGGTCAAAGAGATCGTTTTATTACTACATACTAGCTATCGATGCTAACAAATACTGTTAAATACGTAATTCTTATCAACACCATAAATAAATATCAATATAAACAGTAGCTAAAATAAACTGTGTCACAAGCATGTCCCCTATGATCTAATTATATTATCACGTAATACGTAAGCATTATCATATAGTACACTTTCTCCGAGTTCGCTGACCTGCTGACAGATTGTACTAATGTTTATATTGAATAGGCCTGCTCTACAACACTGATAGCGATATATCATAGACTATGAGTCAGTATTCTGACCCTAAATGATTGGTACTCCGCCAATTGGAAATGGTAACCGTCTCTCGTATGTTTTAAATTTCCTATCCGGTACTAAACCTAGTAATGAATCGGTGATATTTTAAACCTTATCAGTTTGAAATTAAGCTTTAAATTAACGTAATTTTGGTATCTTTGGAAATACCGAAATCATCTTCTGTATTGGTTATTTAACCGATAAAAATGTTTTTAATTATTTGCACGTCATTCAGATTCCAATCGAATTTGATAGTAAACTAAAGGTACTGTTTAAAATTTTAACTTTTAAGGACGATAACATAAATAAAAATAATCGAATTTAATAAATTTAGTAATTTGAAATGAAACTATTAATACAATTTATAGTTATGCCATTTTGAATTTAATTCCATGATAATACTCTGGCTTAAAACTGCAATATTTTAATTTTCGTAATTTTTGATCGACCTTTGTTTTGTTTCCGAACGCAAGCCTGTCACTGACGTTTGTTACGTCAAAGAATTGCAGGTTATATTTTAAATTAGATTTTGCGACACTGGGTTTTGCTATTGCTTGTCGTGTTATAAAATAATTAAACACTACTTGTTGGATGAATTAGTTTTACTGATCGGTATCTGCTTGTTAGTTCTGTTAACGAAATTTTGGACAAACCAATGTAAGTTTACTAGTAACTTCAAGGTCAGGGGTAATGTGTCTACTTTCGTTCTTATACTATTCTAGATTAGATATATTATTACATGTATTCATCGCAATAAACCTTACGAAATCCTATCGAAACGCGTGCTTTATAAATTATACCTACTCGCGTATTAAACCTCTTTGGCAACGGAACGCTCAAGCGATTGCTAAACCGTTGCACATAGAATTAAAAAACAATTAGATGTAATTGTGACGTCAGATCAGAGTTTGCTTAACTTTTTTAATTACACATTTTGTTCAAGGACATGTACCCAGGAACACTAGCAGCGATAATGTTATAAAACGACAATAGAAAAAAAAACAAAAGTTGCGAATTCATTGAAAGCTGTCTTTGACTTTTTTATTATTAAATATGGCGTAACTTTTGACACATTTGGCGGTACCGATTGAACAAAATGGTACATGTCAAGGTGAAGAAGATCCAAAAAAATCAGGTGTATTTGGTAGATAAAATGTGCAAAAATACCGGTGAAAAGCGCCATTTGTCACGTTACCGCTTGAAATTTTCCAGACGACTCTGTCTATAAGAGTATCGATTTTCGTTATTTTTGGACCGAAATATATTTGAAATGAGATTTAGTAATGTTATTTCAACACACTTATTCCAGATCACAAGCCGATTTCATTGTTACTTTATTAAAATAAATAAATAAACCGTCAACGATCAGTCATTTAGTGTAGTTAGTTTATGACCAGAGACAAAGATTTGACAGCTCTACATTTCCCGCCATTAATAATCGAAAGATCCATGTCTTTGATTTTTAAACGGATTATGACTATGACTTTTAGTAGGTCCAAAATTTATAATTGGGTGCAGGGTCATTAATTAGGCAATTAAGTCGCA